TCACCGTTAGCCTGTGTCGGGTGTTGGTGAAGAGGCATGAGGGCCTGTGCCAAGAGTAGGATGGGTTGGCTTTGTAAACAGGAGCCACCGTCATTTCTAGCCTGGTTGTGCCCACACAGTAACAGCTGCTGCCATGCTGCCTGTATGGTGTCATAAGTCCCTTCTCCCTTCCTATCCTCACCATAATATTTTCCCCACCTACTTGTCACAGTGCCTGAAATCCCACCGTTAGGTACTCTTTGGGATCCTATTATACGAAGGTGCCTTAAAAAGTTCATGGAAAAATAGAATTAAAAGATGACATGAATCTTTCTATGAACTTTTTGAATACCATTTATAAATGTGCATAAGTCAGGAGGGGGAGACATCTCAAATCATAAGCTAGTTACCCTGAGGAACACAGGAGGGTAAATTCTAATGGAGGAATGAAAGGGGTGGGGGCGCGCATTCCAGGAGTGTGACAGAAGGAGGGTGACAGAGGGAGGGTGACAGAGGGAGGGTGAAGAGGGTTGGGTACTATCAGGCAAACTCCAGGAAGTTGCCTCAGGCTAGAACCTTAGGCCAGCAGCTGCCCCAGAACTCAGGGCCACCCATCCCTCTTGCTGAGCCAATGAGGAATGGAGACCCTTCAGGAGGAGAGGAAGGGAGCTATCCAGAATCACTGGTGAGTCAAGGACAGAGCTGGGGCCCACTCCAAATTTAGCAGGGTTGGCTCAGGTTTTCACGCAGAGCCCCACACCTGTAAGATGCACACACCTCTGGCCCATTTCTGCTTTTTCTGGGGCCTCTTGGGGCAGGGCCCTTATCTGCATTTCCTTTCTCCAAGGGACAAGAACAGGCTGCCAGGCCCCAAGTCCTTGCTCCTGGTTGGTAGATCTGGCAGCTTGGCTAGGGACGGGCTTCGGCCTGGGGTATGCTGTGCACAGAGGAAGCAGACCCAGCCTGCAGGGAGTGAGGGGGCGAAGCCTCTTTTCTGAGGGGGAAAAAGATGTCTCCAAAACCTCCAAGCCACCTGAGATCCCAGGGCTGACCATGGAATCAGGAGACCCCTTTGGGCCATCGGCCCTGATGTCCCCACCTACCTGGGAATTCCTGCAGCTCCCACAGCTGCCCAGGCTGGGCTTTGTCCTTGCTGTGGCTGGTGCTGGCTCTGGACTCTGTTGCCAGCAAGGTTGGGCAGGCACAAGCTGGGTTTACCCTGGAGGAGGAGCATTGGGGTCAAGGCCAACTCTGTCTTCTCCTTGGGGAGGAGGACAGAGGAAGGCACCCAGCTCTTGGTTCCTGGACTACGGGGGCCTTGGTCACTCCTCTTCCTCTGCTACTCAAGCCCCAGGTTCCCAGGGGGTAGCAGGAGGCACCAGAATCCACAAGGGGGAGACTGAATGTGGCATGAAAAGAGGCGATGGCTGGGACTCAGGAGACCTGGGTCTGGGCCTGACTCTGTCCTGAGTCTGGTGTCTTCCCTTCTGAGTCTCAGTTTTCTTAGATGTAAATGATGGGGTTGAGATCAGCAGTCTCTCAGCAGCCATCCTGGAGTCTGTGATGCTGACTGGCATGCTCAGCTACCCTGAGTCTCCACCCCAGAGATGACTTCCTGATTGTGTCACTCCTTGGTCCCCTCCTTCTCCTCTCTGAGAAGCTGCAGCCCCACTCTGATAGGACCCCTACATCCCTGTGGACCTTCTTAGATGTGGGACCTTTCTCCTCTGCACATTCCCCCTGAGCCCCACCTCTATGCTTCCAGCCTGCTCTTTGTATTCCTTTTCTTTGCCTGGGCTGGGTCCTCTCCGCTGGTCAATCTTCCTTCCCTGAGGGCTGACTGTGAACCAGGACACCTGGGTTCTGGTCTCAGCTCTGCCACATGTTGTGTGACCTTAAGCTGGAAACTCTTTGGCCTTCAGGTTGGGCTGGAAGATCACCCAGGTCCCTCCAGCACTCAGACCTGATCACATCTAGGCCCACAGTTTGAGAGAGCTCACAAGGACTTGGGGCTCTCTGCCTCAGACTCCACCTCCTGAAAGGCTCTCCCTTGTCATGACATCAGGGTAGGAAACCCCTAGACCTTTGGTCCAAAGTGTTAACCCTTCCCCCACTTCATCTAATTCCTAGAGTGAAGGAGGGCATTTTGTAATAGTCAGAAATATGACAGAACTATCAAAATTTTGAAAGCAGATAGAAGACTGATAGTTCCATTCTGTATCTAGGGTTAAAAAGACACATAATTTTCATCAAGATAGAAAAGAAAAACAAGGGAAAATGAGCAAATTTCAAAATAAAAGTTTTCCCCCCACCTTGCTACTTATTGCCCCCTCTCCTGCTGTTTTTTGGCAGCTGTTCCTCCTGACTGCATCCTTGTGTGTGTGTCTCTCTCTGTCCATCTGTCTGTCTTCCTGCTCTTCTTCCCATCACCCCCTCTTCCCTTCTGTGATTCAAGATTTCCAGGGATATTGGGTGGAACCTCCAGTGTTCCAGAGGAAGGAGGAATAACCGTGTCCTGCTGGGCAATGACTATTCAGCACCTTGGTCAGTACTCCAGTTCCCTCTCCCAACTCCCAACTCCTCTGGGTGGTGTGCTTCAGTGTGGTGAACAGTGCTGGGACCCAGGCAGGAGGAGAGGGAGCAGAGAGTGCTGCCAGGTGTGAGCAGTCAGCCTCCTGGGGTAGCCTCCCTGGCAGGATGGAAGGCCTGTCCCTAGAGCTCTGTGCTGCCAAGAGACCTTATCGCTGTTGTTTTCTGTTCCCACTGTCACCCCAGAGAGAAGGACCGGAGCTGACAGCCTTATTAGATGTTCAGCAGGACAAGTTGTGGGACCCAACATTAGACTTAAGAGAATCCTAGACCATCAGAGGTAGGACCCTGGCAATCATTCAACTAGATCCCTAACCCCTCCCCAACAGAGATGGGGAAACTGAGGCCCAGGGAGAGAGAGGGACCTGCTGAAGATCACACAGGGCTTCGTGAGTCCACCTCTGACCCTGGGAGACACATGAAGCATGGCTTGCAATTGAGACTTGACTTACAGTCACACAGCTCCAGGGCATGGAGCCTGGTGTCAGCTCCCACTCTGAATCCCAGGCGGATCGCAACTCTGGCCACTGCGCACTGAAGCAGTCCTCAAAGTTGAGATGCATTTCCAGAGAGGTGCAGTGAAGTTTGGCTTTATTTTTATTATTTTTATTTTTATTATTTTTTTTTATCTTGGCTTTAGTTTTAGATGGACCTGATCTGATTTCTGGCTCTGCTGAGTGCAGGCTGCAAGTCCTCCGGGAAGTATGTTTTCTTACTCAAACACTGCGATAATGATACCAACCTCATGGGTTTCTCTTGATGGTTAGATAAGGCATAAAAAGTACCTGCACTCTGCTTGCTGACTACAAATGGGGACTCTGAGTGGGCTTATTGCCGTTCTGTCATTTCTTTCCCGCTCTGGGTAAGATCTTTGATGATTTCTCCTTCCTTTCCAAGGCTGGGCTGCCCTGGTCTCCTCTCTTCACTTGATTGTGCTAAATGTGGGGTTCCCAGGATCAGCCTGACAACCGCAGATTCTGTCATTCAGGTATTCTCTAGACAGTCATGTAAGTATACTTCTTGGAGGAGCCCCACTTCCCTGCAGTCCCTAGTTGGGTATGTAAATTAGGCCACTACAGTTACTCCCAGACACTTGGAAACTGGCAGTGAAGGCTGGGGAGTGGCCAGCACTTCTTGGACCTGGTGCTGAGGCTGAGTGGGGGAAAGGCAGGCAGGAGTATGGAAGGGGTGCTCCTCCCCCAGAGGGAGAAGACAGAGCAAAGACAAATCCACTGAGCAAAGTTGGGAGGGTGTGGTTTTGGGGAAGCCACAGGGATCTGAGAGAATAGGGGTGAAGTGGGGATACTCTAGTCTCAGAATCACCCCTCCCCACCAACTTTGCTGTAAACTGGGCCGCTCCCATCAGGCGATCAGAACCCTCCACCCACCCTTGTTCATGTCCCTCTTCCTAGAACCCCAAACACATCAATGACTAGGGTGGTCCTCTCTCCTCTCTCCCCACCTCCAGGCTGTAGATGAAGGTCCACCTGGTCCCTCAGAGAGCATCCAGTCTAACCTCCCTCATTCCGCAGGTGAGGACACTGAGGAATGGACCTTTAGGGTGAAAATGACTCAGTGAAGAGCCAAGATGAGGCCGGACTCCTATTTCCCAGGCTGCTGCACGGCACAGCTGCAGAGACCCCAGGTCCTTTCCACGCAGAGGGCACAGCCTGCGTGTCCACGTGCAGGGCCCTGCCTGGCTCCCGGCCAGGCTGCATCCCCATCAGTCAGGGGTGGGATGGACCTCCTTCTACATAGCAGACCTGGGGTCCTTCCTGTATGGTCTCATACAGGGCACAAGGAGAAAGATAGACTCCTTAGGGTCAGAGGCCACCCAGAGATTCAGAAAACCCACACAGATCCAGGCAGACTCCAGAAGGCAGCTGGAGGGAGAGGCAGAGCCTGCCTAAGTGCACTGCACTTTACAGCTTACCAAAAAATCATGTGAAGTCAGTGTTATTGTCTCCATTACCCATGTGGGAAAACCAAGGCCCAGAGAGTTTAGTTATTTTTCTAAAGTCACACAGTGATGGAGACTGGATTGAAGCCCAGGTCTGTGGTTCCAGAGATCAGGCTCTTGCCACAGTCCCATGAGCTCGCCTCTGCCTGCTCCCAAGGCAACCACCACCTCTCCTCCAGCCAAAGACTGATGGTCTTCCCTGGCTGATAAGTTTCTGGACAGGGTTGTGGTATGAGTGTTGGCTTAGCACTTAGTTCTAATCCAAGCTCCATCACTTACCAGTGTTGGACACAGGATGCTAGGCAAGTCATGTTCTCTCTCTGAACCTTTTTTCCTCCTCTGTGAGAAGAGCATAATACTATTTACCCAGCAGTGTTGCTGTGTGGATTAGCCATGTTAATGTATGTGCACTGCCTGGGACAGAATAGGTGGGCCTTTGTGTTTGTCAAAATGAATGAACGGACCACTGACATCCTGTAACTTTAATTTAATACAAATTGATCATAACTCACAAAATGGGCAACACTTTAAATAAAAATACTGCTGGGGTGGCCCAGATTCTGGTAGTTGAAGGGGTGGGGTAGAGCTGAAGACTGTTCTTGGCAGGGGAGGCCCCAGTGGGCAGCAGTTGTGAGTAGAAGCCTCCCGTGTTCAGTTATTCTGGCTCCTCTGGGATGGACATGTTCAGAGACCCCAAGTACAGAATCTAGACCCCAGGACTAGAAATAGAAGACAAGGCTGGGGAGACCTTTTGGCTCAGTCTTGCAGCCCCCTCCCTGGGTTAACACCTCTGGGCAGGGATAGAGCCACGGAGCAGGACACCTCAAGGCTCTGCTACTTCAAAGTCAAGGCCTAGAGGTGGACTCCAGTCTCTCCTGAGTTCTTCACAGTTGTATGCTGTGGCAAAAAATACAGATGGGCTTGCTCAGCATCCATTCTAACTTCCTTCTATCTTCCTTCTTTTTGTATGGCTGAAGCTGGAAAGATGAAAACTTCATTTCCCAGCCTCCCTTGCAGCCAAGGTTCTGGATCTGACTTTTTTTTTTTTTATCAAACTAAATACCTCCTAGAGATTTGGATTTGGGAACTGAGTTAGGTGGGAGAGAGGCAGGCCCCAGGACACCCCTTTGCAGGAATGGACGGTGGCAGGGGTAACGTAGTTCTGCAGTCAGCAGCTCTCTGATGCAGTGGCTTCCTGCAGATGGGAGCAGCTTTCCTGGTCACAATAGACATGATGAATCTAGTGGCTGGGAGCTGTTCATAGACATTCAACAAAGAGTCTGCTCCTCCAGCCCTTCCAATGATGTTGCAAGCCACCAGGGACCTCGTAATAAATCCTTGTCTAATTAAACCAGCTAAAGTGGCTCTTGTTTTCTGCAACAGGATCCTGAGATAGGTGCCAAGTCTGACGAGGGGTCCCAGCCAACAGCCCCTCTCAGTGCTCAGGTACTAATTATAACACTGCTCCCGCAGCCTCCCTTCACCCTAGTGGGTCACAGAGGCCTGGCTGAAGAGGGCTGGCTGGACCCTTGTACAGAGTTGCTGGGGACCTCGATTATCCAATGATGCTTGCCCTGCAGGTGCTTTTAGACCAATAGGCTCCACATCAACCCCAAGTGTGCCTTCATCCTTCCCTTAGGCCTGTGGGCAGGAAGATGGTGGCATGGTGACTGTAACATGTGGGCTCGGCTACTGGGTGCCTTTGACAGACCACAGCATTATCTCTGATTTGCAGATCAGTGGGAAAAGCAGGAACCACATAGTTCTTGGTATGTAGGTGGCAGGAGAGGATGGTTCTCAGATAATCCTAGGATCAGCTACTGCCTGTGTCCACTGTGGGCTAGGGTCAAGGGTAAAATGGCCCATCACTAGCTTGGTTAGGGACAAGTCTTAGGCCATGGGGCATAAGAAGGTTCTGTGGATCTTTCAAGCTGCCAACTACTGGCCACACTGACACATCCTAAATCCAGGGCAGCTGGGCAGGAGGGAGACATAGGCAAGTAGTCCCCTGCCCGAGAGGATGGGGATGAGGGTCGGGCAGGGGTAGCCCTGAGGAGAAGCCATGTCACATTCTTGGACCAAAGCTGCATCCCCATCAAGATCAGAGCTACAGAACATGAATGCTGGAAGAGAGTTTAGGAATCTTGGAGCACAACCTCCATCTTACAGACGGAAATGGAGGCTGACGGGTAAGCAACTGGCCTGAGGTCTCAGAGTAGCCAAGGTGGACGGAGTCTGGGCCTCCGGTCTCCTGGGCAGGGCTCTTGCTGGTGCCAATGGTTCCAGGAGGCTGTAGTCTCCCTTGGCCCGACTAGATGCGGACAGTGTTGATCCGCAGTGGCTGAACGTTCTTGCCATTGGCGTGGCTCTGGCCAGGGCTGAAGTAGGAGCAGAGCTTGCCGGGGAACTTCTCGCGGAAGGTATAGAGCCAGGACATGTCGTCGGCATTGTAGAAGATGAGCAGGCCCTGGTCGTAGTCCAGGAAGACACCCACCTTGTCGAGCTTGTCCCGGACATTGAGCCGCGTCCAGGGCTCCGTGCAGGCGCTGTACTGGTTGCCATCGTGCATGACAATGCAGTAGAAGCCGCGGCTGGGCTGGATCTGGATGCTGCCCTTGCGGCTCGCAGCCTCATGTGCCAGCCCGATCACCCACTGGGTCTTCTCCGCCACCACCACCTCCCAGTAGTGGACACCGCTACTGAAGGCCTCGGAGCCCAGCACCGACACCTCCACGTCAAAGCGCTTTGGCGAGTCCTGCAGTGGCTGTGGGTGCAGGTTGCCATAGGCCACGATTGTACAGTCATCGGACAGGATCAGGCGCTGGTGGGCAGTGCCTGGGTCCAGGGTCAGGGCGGCTGGCACTGTGGGGGGTGGAGAAGGAGAGAAGATGAGTGGGGAGAAGGCTGTGGACCCACTATGTGGTGCCTCCCTGCGGGCACGTTCTGGTTGGTCTCCAGGAGGCCTGTGACCCTGAATACAAGACTTCCCTCTCTAGACCTCATCTTCCTTCCCTATCAAATGAAAGGGTGATGGCTAAGGAACTTTCAGATTTAAACGTGGCTGAGGGAGCAGGGGCTATGGCCTCTTGCTCACTGCCAGATGCCTGGGGCAAGGCACATAGTGGGTGTTTCACTAATGTTTGCTCAATTAACCAGAATGAGGTCCAGAATTAATTTCAAAGCTGGGAGGGAGCTTAAAGATTATCCAGGTGCTCCTGCCCCTTAGGGGGTGATTTGGAAATGTGTGGGGGTGTTCGGGTTGTCTCAGTGATAGGTGGGATCCAGGGATGCTGAAGACCCTGAACGAAATGCACAGGACAGTTCTGCATGTGAGGTGCTGCCCCGCCCTTTCCCCCACCCCCAGTGATTTTCAAAGGTTCCACCAGACGTTCATGTGAATGAAAAATCTTTTTTTGTAGTGAAATCAACTACAACCTAACTCCATTTTATGTATAAACATGAAATAAATTTTTGTAGTTTTAATATACGCTGAATATTCTGGAATGCCACTACCGTGTAAACTGAGGGAAGTCTGAATTTGTTTTGTTTGGAACCTCACTAAAAATTGTTCACTTTTTTTGAAAATACATCTCTAAGGGCAACACCACTGACCAATACAACCTACCTGTGTTGGACTGTATCTGAGGCAGAATGGTGTTTACCTATGATGTGAGCACCTGACGACTTCATTATGTCTCCTAGTGTGGTTGTGAGTGAGCATCTACATATTGACAGGCAAAATATTTTATTGTAAATAATATCCTTCCATTTTTCTTTTATATTACAGTCAAAGTATATATACATATATACACACACACACACACCTGTTTTATGTATACATATAGATACTTGAAATTGTGAAAGGGTTATATTATCTTTGATACATTACAAATCATTTATTATGAAAATTAGACAATGTGAACGACTTCATTATGTCTCCTAGTGTGGTTGTGAGTGAGCATCTACATATTGACAGGCAAAATATTTTATTGTAAATAATATCCTTCTATTTTTCTTTTATATTACAGTCAAAGTATATATACATATATACACACACACACACACCTGTTTTATGTATACATATAGATACTTGAAATTATGAAAGGGTTATATTATCTTTGATACATTACAAATCATTTATTATGAAAATTAGACAATGTGTCTGAAAAGGTTGAAAACAACTAATTCTGGGCCAACTCTTCCATTTGACAGATGGGGAAACTGAGGCCCGAGAGGAGACATGACTAATCTCAGAGTCAGGACTAATGAAGGCCATCTGCAGTCTGGCCCCACCCTCTCTTCCTGCCCCCCTGTCACTCACGATGCCCACCCCAGTCCAGCCCAAAGCCTGTGCTCACACTGTCCCTCTGCCACCACCTCTCTGATTGTTGCAATCACCCACACAGAGCTCAGTTCAAAGTGCCCATCCTCTGGGAAGCCTTCCTGGTTGCCCAGCAGGTGTGCTCACTCCTTCCTCTGAAATCTCTTCACTTTGCTTGCGCCCCTCCACTGGCATGGGGTAGAGTCTTCTGTGCTCACCTCTCACTCTCATTTGTACCAGGAAGGCAAGGACCGTGTACTGGCCAACCAGACTCTCCATTGTGTATACGGTGCCCAGCATAGGGGGCAGGTTTCTGGAAAGGCTCACCAAATTACATTAACCCTGTTAGTGTTGGGTGGGTGTCACAGGCTGGATCACCTGGCTCTGGGCCGGTCACACTGGCTTAGCAGGTCTGGCTCTCAAACTCTCATGAACTCTTGTCAAGACCTCTGTCTACTCATTCCTCCCCAAGGGAGTGGATGACCAGCCAGAGGAAAAGGGGAACCTGGGATGGGCTCTCCTCAACCTGGATGGTCATGTCCAGGCCAGAGCAAGAGAGAGGGGAGGAAAAGTGAGAAGAAGGAATCCTGCCACCAGCTCTTCGGAGTGAAGGACTTGTCCATCCTGTTCTCTGGCTCTGTCCTTATCTGGTGGAGCAGGGATGTGATTACACTTGGCTCGAGTGTCACTCCCCACTTCGATCACCTCTGCTGGCTGTGTACGTGCCCAGAAATAATATGCTCCAGTGATGGTGACTGTCTCCAACAGGGAGTCACAGCCAGTCCCTGAATGGTGCTTCTGTTCACACCCACTAGCAAAGCTGACCATCAGCCTACAGCAAGCTCCTTCCATGATCTCTGCCACGAGCAAATATAGTTTTGCATTCTACAGCTGCATGGAAACAATTAGCCCTGTGAGCACAGGGGTCAATGGAAATACAGTTCTCTACTCAGGGACATAAACGAGGGGGAGCCATGAGAAGAAAGACATCGAGCCAGTGGAAAAACGTCTCATCCTGTAGTCGGACTGGCCACAGGCAGCTTGTCAGAACCAGAAGGCTCCTGCCATGTGGAATGGGGGGGATTCCCAAAGTGGGGCTGGGAGGTGGGAGGTGGAGGGGGTGTGGGAGGGGTGTGGGGGGGAGGGGAAGAGCAAGGGCAGGAAGAACCACCCAATCAAGTACAGATGGGACCACCCCTGCTGGCAATGGGACGTGGGTCCCACTCAGGTGTCTACAGCAGAGGGGCAGAGCGGGTACAGTGCCAAAGTGTGAGCAGCAGCAGTTCTGAGGGCCAGGGGAAGCTGGGCCTTATACCCAAGGTGCCCAGGATGATTTAGGGGACCAGCAACAGGCAGGAACCCAGGCTTAGGGCAGAAGGACCAGGGGGTGGGGGGACTTGCAAGCAGGCGTGAGCCTCAGCCTCAGAATCTTAAGCTTCTGTAGGGCAACATAAGCCACTTCCGGTGCCACTGATGGGGCTCCAGGAGGCGGCCAAGTGAGCTCCCAGTGGATCTGAGACTGGGAGGACAGAGACGAGTCTGCACGTTGGAGGGAATCCTGACCCCACCGAGTGCCAGCTCTTGCAAGTGAACTTACGTTACTTGAAGCCCAGGGGACTGAATGAAGGCAGGGCCTCCCACCTTATCATCAACAGAGTGGCCTGTCTCCCCGCCTCCTCCTCCGACCCTCCTTGAGGCCAGGGCTGGCAGGAGTAACAACCTTCAGATCCAAGAGTGACCCAGAAGGGGGCACAGCAATGCCTTTCCCTCTTCTGAGAAGCCAGTCCCTACATAGGAGTCCCTCCCTCCATCCGTCCTCCTCAGGAGAGGTGACATCCCAACGAGATGTCCCCTGGGGCCCTCTATTTTACAGGTCAGAGCTCATTTCTAGGTCCCGGCACACTGAGTTTTATAAAAACAAAAGCCAGGCACTGAGGCAGCCCTTCTGGTCTCCTGATGTTTTCTCTCTCCATTCAAGCTTCTCTGAGGCCTCGAGGTCAAAGGCATTGAGGAAGGACCCAGGACTGTGGAGGCCCCAGGAGGTGTTTCCCCACCACTGCTACCACACTCAGCAGTGAGCGGCCCAAGCGGCCGAGAAACCCCTCCTGGGGCACAGCCCAGCACCGCTGCTTGGCAGCAAGTGGCTTGTTTCTTTGTTCTCAAGGACAGTGGCTTTAAGCCTGAAGAGGCCCGACAGAACAGGAAATGCTGTCGGCTCTTTCTTCTGGCCAGGCCTTTAAAAAATCTTGTCCCTCAGGCCTCCCACCTACTCAGGTTTCAGCTGCACAGGGTAGGTGTTGGCAGAACATTTTCACACCCACTAGCTCCTGGGAACACCGTGGCGAGTCCCAGGGGCACGGACCATTGTACCCATTTTTCCAAAGAGGAAACTGAGGCTCCAAGGAGATTTCTTTGAGTAAAGCTCAGGTTCCCCTTGGGTCAGAAGCAGAGTTTGAACTTGAGCTGAGGACTTTTCCCATCATGTTCTTTCCATCATGTGGCCCCAGAAAGCCTGTTCAGCAAGACTGAGGAACCATCTGATGACTCATGATAATAATAACAAACAGGAATCAAGTACTTACTAAGTTATAGGATTATCACAGATAAATAATTTAATTCTCACACCTGCCCTGGGAGATAAGTGCAACTATCCCTATTGTATAAATGAGGAAACTGAGGCTCAGGGGGGATGTTTGTCCTGGGTCACACAGCTAGTGAATGTGCTGGAACTCAAAATCACTGGATTCAGGTAAAAAGGGGGACGGGAGAAAGCAGCCTGGGAGGGGGAGGTGCAGGAGCGAGGGGAGCAGTGTCTGGTGTCCTTGGGACAATGGGCTGCTTGGCCTGGTGGAGGAGGAAGCTTGTGCCTGGGAGCCGGGGCAATTAGGCCAGGCAGGTAGAAAGGGCTTTCTAATGTTTGGCTGGGTTGGGGTTGGGGGTGGGGGTGCTGGAGAGTGGAAGTTCCAGAGCAGGAGAGTGACAGGTGCTAGATGGGGTTCTCAGGTGACCAATAGGAAGCCTGACCTGGAGGGGAGGGGCAGGCTGGAAACTGCTAGAATCCATGGGCTGGGTCCCTGGGGGGCACCCCTCCCAGCTGGACATAAAGGGCTTTGGTTCTGGCAGAGGAGCCAGAGTGACTCCACAGGCCCCACAGACAAAGGAAGGGGCCCAGCCAACCAGGTCACTGTTCTCTGAACTCCCCAGGGGCCTCTGCTCTCTGCAGGATGTTTGGGGCACACACTACTGCTCCCTCAGCCCCTCTCCTGCAAGCAGCTTTCTCTGGGGCAGTGGTTCTTAACTGGGACAATTTTGCTCCCCAGGGGGCATGTGGCAATGTCTGGAGACTTTTTTGATTGTTACAACTGAGGGTGGTGGTGGCTATTAGCATCTAGTAGACAAGAGGCCAGGGCTGCTGCTAAACATCCTACAATGCACAGGACAGTGCTCTACAATAAGGAATTACTGAGCCTCAAACGTCAAGGTGCTGAGGTGGAGAAACCCCGCTCAGGGCCATCAGCAAGTTCTCACGTCCATTTGTTCACTTGTGAGGGAGTCGAGAAGGGGACACTAGCATCCCTATTTTACAGAGGAGGAAACTGAGGCTCAGAGGAGGAAGTGACTTGTTCAAGGCTCTGCAGCAAGTTCCTTCATTCAACAAATATTTATTAAGCACCGACTTTATGCTCAGCACTATTCTAGTAGCAGAACTGGCACTAGGACTCATTCATTTCCTTATTCATCTGTCAATAATTATTGACTCTGCTGGCTGCTGGGGATACATAGTGATGGCCTCTGACCCTCAGAGTTCACAGTCTAGTGAGAGAGATGGACACACAGACAGTGACAAAGCAGTGAGACCAGGAAAGCCCAAGGCTACCTGGAGAAATCCAGGAAGGCTTCCCAGAGGAGGTGTTTGTAAACTAAGACACGAGGGAGAGCAGGAATCAGTCATCAAAGATTGAGGATTGCGTAGAGGGTTCCAGGCAAAGGAAATAGCATGTGCGACAGTGCGGAGGAGGGACAATATCACTCATTTGAGACCTGAAGATGGTTCTGTGTAGCTGAGTATGACATGGAGAGGAGAATGAGAAGTTGGCAGGGCCCAGATCTTGTAGGGCCTTGAATGCCAGGCTGAGGTGCCTGGACTGCCCCTGAACTGAGCTGTGACAGGGATGGAGCAGGTGGTAGCCAAGGCAAAGACAACTCCCCAGACCATGTGATGGAGAGGCTCCCCTGGGTCAGTGGCTGGGGAGGACAGAAGAGCCTTGGATGTGCTTCTTGCCTCCTTGAGTTTTGCTGCTTCACCCACATGCAGCCCTTACCCTGCTGGGTCCCAGTGTGGAAGCCCCTCCAAGGCTAGGAGCACACAGAGACCCCCACCCCAGGAGGACGGCCCAGAGCCACCACCCAGTCTGCTGGAAAATGGGCCCTTCCCCTAGCTATTACCTGCTGTGTCAACGAGGGCCCAGAACCAGATTTAAGAGAACTAGGAGGCGTCCCTTCACTTCTATGAAATCAACAACATATCAAATGAGGCCTTTGGTCACCTATAGGGAGGGCCCAGCTCTGTGGTCCAGCAGTGATAGTCCTAGGCCCTCTCCATCCCTCCAAAAGGCCCAATCATCAACATCCTGGGGTCATCTAAGCCCCTGCCCTCCCCCACTGCCTTTGCCCCTGCAGTTCTCAGCACTGGGGCTTGTCTGGTTCCTTCAGTCTTCAGCCCTCAGTTCAAGCCATCATCTGCTCTGTGCTTCCCCCGGCCCCGCCCCTGTCCACCCCTCTGTGCGCCCCTGGCACCGTGCAAGTCCCTCATCACAGCCCTTGTTCTGCTGGACTGTCAGGGTCTGGTTGCTAGTCTGTTTCCTGAAAGTGCCTTGAGGGACTTTTAATGTTTGCAGAGTGAAAGAATGAATCAGACAGGTGGAAAGAACTTAGACTCCCATGTGACCTTAGGAAGTCAGTCAGCCTCTCTGAGCCTAAGTCTCCCTGGTTGCCTTCCTGGGGCGTATGAGGCCAGAAAATGGCCAGTTAGCTTAGTAGGTAAGGACACAGGTTCTGGGGTCTGAAATGGGGGTTTAAATCCCAGCTGTACCATTTACAGGTTGTGACCATGGACAAGTTCCTAACAGCTCTGTGCCTCAGTTTCTTCAACTGAAAAGTGAGGATAGTAATAGAGCCTACCTCTTAGGGAGAATTCCCTTCTACATCCATGTCTCTCCTCTGAAGGACGTCATGTCTGACTCAGGAACACACAAGGTTCCCTGCTGCCAGTAGGCTTGAACCTGCCCTTGTGGGCAGCATGATTTTGGGAAGGCACTGATCTCCCATTTCGGGCTCTGCTAACTCTACTAGAAACCTGTTTCAGACCTTCTCCTCTCTCTGCAAACCTCCCGTCACCTACTCCCCATCCCAGCTGATGACCTCGCTTCCTACCTCACTGCAAAGGTGAAGCCATCAGACGAGAATTCCCATGAGCTCCCAGCACTGCCCCATCTACCTCGGTGCCCATTCATCCCACCTTCTCTCGGTTCTCGGGGGCAAACTGTCTGGCCTCAGCTGTGCGGTGGCTCCCACTCGTGAATGGCAGTCCAGGCCCTCACTCCCGCAGCTCTCTCCCCTCCTTCATCCTCAGTTCTGCCCCTTCTACTGGATCTTTCCCATTATCCCACAACTACGCTGGACTTCTGTCTTCTGGACTGCTACATTCTCACTCCTTCCTTTAAGTAAAACTCCTTGACAGCATTGTCTCCACCTGCCTGTCTCCACTTCTCTTCTCGATGGGCTCCAATCAGGCTTCTACCCCTATCACAGCTCCACCAAAACAGCTCTTATCAAGGTCACCAGTGCCCTTCATGCTGATAAACCTGGAGAATCTTCCACTCTGGGTCCTCCCACATGTGGCTCGGCAGCCTTCGCCACAATTAATCACGCTCTCCTTCTGGAAACGCTTCCTCCGCTTGGCTTCCAGCACATACCCAGGTCACCCTCTACTTCTCTGACTGCTTTTTCTCAGTCTCCTTGGCTGGGCACCTCTCCTGTCCCTGACTTCTAGGAGTACCCCAGGGCTCCAAATGTTCCGGTGGTCCTCTTTCTTTTCTGTCTAGCCTTGCTTCCTAGGTGATCTTATCCAGGCTCATGAAATACTCTCCACATGCTGACACTGGCCCTGACCTTTCTCCTGTACTGCAGACTCCTAATTCCAACTGTCTTTTCCACATCAGCACTGAGATAGCTGATCAGCATCACAAACCTCACATGCTTACAATCCGTCCCTGCCAAAATCCTTGGAGTCTTTCCGGTCTTCTTTCTCTCACACCTGAGATCCAACCCATTAGCAAATCCTGCTGGCTCTCTCTTCAAAATATTTCCTAAATCTGACCCCTTCTCTCCACCTCCACCACCACTCCCTGCTCCAAGCCACACTCACCTCTCGCCTAGATTATGCAGTAGTAGTCTCCTCTCCAGTTTCCCTGCCTCCACCTTCAGTCTATTCTCAACCCCCCCAGCCAGAGAGGTGTTTTAAAAACTTAAGCCAGGCATGTCACTTCACTGCCCCAAGCATGGCTCCCGTCTCAGCATAAGATCCAAAGTGCTCACACTGGCTTCTAGGCCCCCATGGTTTGGCCACTGCTCCCTCCCTGACTCCTCACCTCCACCTCCTTCTCTCTCATTCCAGTCCAGCCACACTGGCCTCCTTACTGTTCCCTAAATGTGTCAGACATGCTCCTACCCCAGGGCCTTTGCACCTGCTGTTCCAGTGCCAAGAACACCCTTCCCTCAGACACCTACCTGGCTCACCCTCCTTCCTTCAGGTCTTGCCTCTAATGCCTCCTTCTCAGTGAGGTCTTCTTACTGGATCCCTTATCTAAAGCCTCTGTCCTACCTTAACTTCCTACAGCTCTTTTCCAGTTCCTTTATCACTGTTTAATACACAATATATTTTACTTATTTGCTTTTGTGTATTTTCTCTCTCACACCCTAGGGTGTGAGATCCATGAGGGCAGGGATTTTTGCCTGTTTTGCTCACTGCTGTATCTCTAGCACCTAGAGTAGTGCCTGGTGTGAAGCAGGCACTTGATATATACTGTATGCATAGAAGGAGTCAATGAAGTGCCCTCGGTCTCTTCATCTGGAGAATGGGTATACTAATGGAACCTACCTCATGGGGTTTTATGAGGTTTCACTGAACTGAGTGATTGTGTGAGTGCCCAGTACAGGCCCTGGAACACAGTAGGTGTTCAGCAAGGCACTCTGCGCATTACCCTGCCCTGCGCTGCGCTGTGTTTAGGGCAGGAGGCTGGGCTGGGCTGGGACAAGTTCCACCTAGCTCTGGCCCGTGATAGTCCATGCCTCTTCCTGGGCCCTCTCAGGAAGTGGCAGGCAGGGCCTTACCTGGGTGGATGTCCTGGAAGAGGGACTTCCAGATGGTGTACTGCAGGGGCCCCGTGTACTTGGAGGTTGGGAAGTCTTCGTATGTCAGGTTGGTCTCATGGATTTTTCCCTTGAGCCTGGAAAGAGAGCAGGAGAGAAGGCTGCACCGGGGCCTGGATTCCTGAACCAACGCTGGGGCCCTGCAGTCATCTTCAGGGCAGCTGACATAGGGTGAGGTCATGAGTGAGAAGTCTGCGGGACTCAGATTCAAGTGCCTGCTTGTACCACTTCCAACCTCTCTGGCTATTACCCCCAGTTTTCTCATCTTTAAAATGGGTACTATGGTAGCACCTCCCTTCTAAACTTGTGAGGATTATATGGCATAATGCATATAAAATGCTTAGCACAGTGCTTGGCTCATAGTCAACACCAAATTCATAATGTTAATGATCAGTGTTAATCACCAGCAAACCAATAATTAAGTGTCATTATTATTAAGGGTGGCTTTGGGGCCGGAGACCTGGGCTTGAATCCTGGCTCCACCATTTACTAGATGAAGGGCCTTGGCCAATTGACCCAGCTTCTCTGAGCCTCAGTTTCTGTATGTGTGAAATGGAGATGACAGTGGTAGCTACCACCAAGAGGACTGGGAGGGTTATTGTAATATAAAGCCCTTATATAATAATATGTAATATCAACATTATTATAAAAAATATAATCTATAATGTAAATAACAGACAATACATTTCTAATATAAGCAACATAATATTATAATACAAGTAATATACTATATAATTATATATATTATTAAATATTAATTATAGAGAATATATATGCAGTATATTATATATATATAAAATAATATATATCATAAAGCCTTTAGCTCAGGCTCTGGCACACAGCAAACATCCATAAATGTCTGATGAAGATTTGAATGAATGAATTCTCTGCTAAAGACTCCATCTGCCTCCACTCCTACCACCCTCACGGGTCAGGGAGGGGATGCCCACCTGGGTGAGGCCCCGGCAGGTGGCACTTACCGCTCAGACAGTGAGGCCACCCCGGCCAGGAAGGTGTGGCGGTCGGTTTCGGCCAGCCGCTCCTGCAGGATCTGGGCCCCCTCCTGCACCTTGCGCAGCTGCTGGCTGTAGCGCTGGACTTTCTGCTCGATGTCAGTCAGTGTGCGGGCCGTGTCCGCCTCCAGCTCCTCCAGCATGGCTTTCTGCCGCTCACGCAGCAGCCGGTGCAGCCGCTCGAAGACCTCACCAATAGTGGTCCGCAGGCTTTTGGTAGAGGACTGTGGGGGACAGTCATCAGGGTTAGGGCAGGGGGAGTGGATGGCGTGATCCTGAGTGAGACGAGGAAACCAAGAGCCTTGCCCCGCAGAGAGGAAAGGGTGGGAAAGGGCACGCTTGGTGGGGGGAAAGGCACATGCATGGTGGCATGAAAGGACCAGCATGGCCAAGGACAGCAAACAGTTCTATGTGGCCCACTAGGAAACTAATAAATGGTTCAGGACTTGGTGGGGGGAAAGGCACATGCATGGTGGCATGAAAGGACCGGCATGGCCAAGGACAGCAAACAGTTCTATGTGGCCCACTAGGAAACTAATAAATGGTTCAGGTGAGACAATGAGGCTTGAACTAGAGGAGGAGCCAAGATGATGGCTAATGTCCCGTGGGAGATGGGGGATGGGGAGGCTGGAGGCAAGGGGAGGGGGACGGGAGAAGACGCCGAGTTCAGTCTGGGCTACAGTGACATTTTTAGTTTTAAAGAAATCACTCATGGGGCTCATTCATGGGGCTCAACAGAAGAGGATGAGGAGATCACAGATGTCAAAGAGCTTTATAAACTGCAACATGCTGGGCAAAGCTTGGTGGTCACCCACCTGTCCTGCCACCCCTAAGACCATCTGGCTGAGAAACAAGACCTGGAGTTCAGGGCCATTATCAGATGAGCTAAGCATGGACATGTGGTTCTCTCTGCCCTCACTGCCACCGCGAGGCCCAGGAGGGGGTGGGGTAGTGAAGGACACAGGCTTTGGTGCCCGACAGCCTGGGTAAGAATCCTAGCTCTGGGCCTCTAGCTGTGGCAACCTCAGGTGCCTAAGATCTATAAACCTTAGTTAGTTAGTTTGTTTGTTTAATCTGTGAAAGGGGTAACAAAAGCTACCTCTCAGGGTTGCAGTGAAGATGAAATCAGGGTATGTTCATAAAATGTGTGACAGTCTGAGGTGCAGAGAAAGAGCCTGGTTATTGAAAAGGGATCGATTCTAACGGTCACATCCTGGAACTGCTCACTGAGAGATGGCTTCTGAGCTGGGGCCTGAAGGACAGGCAGGATGTCAGCTGGGTGGGGGACCAGGCAGAGTGAAGCTTGTGACGAGTCAGGACGCCCCGGGCTGCAGCAGCATGTGCGGCCTGCCTCTGCAGTTTTACTTTGTGGGATTCTGGCTGCGAGTTCATAGAGTCAGAGACCCCTCTGTGTTCAGTGCTCAGGGCTCTGTGGGAGGCTCAACAAAGGCTCAATTAGGGCCTCTTCCCTCCCTCTTGCAGCAGGAAGAACTGCTGGCAGCGGGCCAGCCTCCCTGCGCATGCCCACCCAGAACGCCAGGCACACAAAGAGGGGGCAGAGGAGAGAATGGGTGGAGGCTCAACAAAGGCTCAATTAGGGCCTCTTCCCTCCCTCTTGCAGCAGGAAGAACTGCTGGCAGCGGGCCAGTCTCCCTGCGCATGCCCACCCAGAACGCCAGGCACACAAAGAGGGGGCAGAGGAGAGAATGGGGATGAGTGGCCAGGCTGCTGCGGCCTCCCTGAGCCCTCCCACCCAGGGAGGGCTGAGGGCTACTGATGGGGAAGAAGGGGCCTGTCCTCCCTGCACCACCTGGAGCTGCTCTCCAAAGGCCCCCACATCCCATGGCCACCCCTTAGATCCTCCTAGACTACTCTGCAGCAGTGTCTGGCCCACTCACCACCCACTGCTGATGGAAAGTTCTGGTGTGCCTCCCATCTCCATGGCTGCTCCCTCTCTGCCACCACGTTCCTCGAGGTTCATCCAGGCCAGTTCCTTCCACTCTCACCCTACGTGCCCTCCTCCTCATGAACCCCATTGCTTTGAGAATGGCTCCCAAATCCATATTGATGGCCTTGCATGTTTCCTGAGCATCATATCTATTTTTCCAACTGTCGCCCTAACATGTCCCCCTGTGGTCCCACAGGTCTCTCCAACCTACTTGATCCACAAGTCAACTCCTGTCTTTGCCAACAATCTCACTGCTGGAGTGATCATTCTGAAGTACAGACTGGCTCACAGCCGACCTTGTGTTTAGGAACCTTCCTCAGCTCCTTGGTGACTAGTAAACTGCTAAATTCCTTAGCCTGGCATTCAAGGCTCTTTTCAGTTTGATCCTAACTTACCTCCCTGGCACCACTGTATTGCAATTCCACCTGCCTGGAACGACCCCCACCCAAACCCTTTATTCAACTGGCAAAAGACCTAACTTGACAGCTACCGCCTCTGAGATACCTTCTCTAACCTTTTCAGGCAGTTAGATGTTCCCAGAGCCTTTTGTAAACACTTTGAATACACTGTCCCACATTTTCTGTCTCCCTGGCTAGTGGATGAACCCCTCCTGGGAAGGAATGACATCTTCCTCAGCCCTGTACCCCATGCCCATCCCAGGGCCTGACACAAGGCTGGAAGTCAGGAGCTGCTTGAGTGGTGAAGGAAGAAAGGGGGAAAGAAAGGGTCCTGCTCAAGATGGCTCCATAGAGCTGAGCACAGATTCCACCTTCTTCCCAGGCTGGGGGTCCGGTGTCCCCAGGACAAGAGAGGATGAGCAGGGAAAGAGGGGGAGGCAGGGAGAGGGAGATGAGAAGTGGAACATCAGAGTGACAGCTACCTTGGCATCCCTGAGCGTGACCCCAGTGGGTCCTCCCAACCTACCCAGTTTGCTGGCCACAGAGCCATAAATCTGGCTGAGGACATCCAGCATGAGGCTGGAATATGCACCCAGCTCTGACAGAACTGCACAGTAAGCTCCCAACTTGCCACGTACTAGCTGTGGAGCCGCAGGCTGGTCCCTCAACCTCTCCATGCCTCAGTTTCCTCGCTGATAAAATTGGGACAAAAACCGTTCCTATCCCCAAAGGTATTTTTTTTTCCTTTCACTCATTTGTTCTACAACTAGTTATTGTGTGGCAGACACTGTGCTAGGTTTGTGGGAGTCCTGCTGTTGTAGAGGTGATATTCTGTGGGGTTCAGTGAGACGATGAAGGGAAAACATAATTCTCAGTAGAGAGGAAGAGCCAGCTTACTAGGGTGCCCCATTTACTCAAGTTCTTTCTAGGGCAGAGCCACCCCTTCCCCAGGCCCCTTTCTTCGGTGCTGTGGCTGGGAAAGCAGCCCTCACCCCAGCCCACCACATCTCTCAGAACACCATGGTGCCTAGGGGAGCTGGGGCCCTTTCAGAAAAACACTCTGCCAAGAATGCGTCACCCTGTCAGGCCAACCAAGGAAAACTTTGGGCCCAAGGAGAGAGATCAGACAGGCCCTCAGGCTGGGCCACTGGAGGGTCAGGCGCCTCAGGAAAGCTGAGTCAGGCACCAGGTGAAATATGACCTCCAAAGCATCCATAGGCATTTCTTGTATAAACACCCCAGTCCAGACAGGAAGTGGAGCTGGGGGAACTGGAGGGGGAGGTGGCCCCACAGGACCCCCCAGAGGCAGACAGATGGACAGGAAAATGGGGGAGGAAGAGGTCAGTGCAGAAAAACAACAGGGGTGTGGGAGGGGGTGGTGGTGGAGAGAAGGCACAGCCCATAACACTCCCTTCTCATCCAGGCAGAGGCTTCCACTTGCTTCTTATAACCTGAGAGGGACAGAAGCATCGGACAGACGGTGAAACTGAGGCTGTGGGAAGCAATTAAGCCAGAGTCCTGTGACTGGTTCTCATCTACTGCCCGCTGAGGGTCTTGCCCAGAGGCACTCTGGAATGTTCTCTGAAGAAATGTTTGTCATGACCTTCTGAGACCCCACAGCGGGTTGGTGGCCAAGCTGGGACACAGATCTGGGTTTCCAATGGCCTCTCAGGCCCCAGGATGACCTGCGGCGGCCCTGAGCATTCCTAAGGCTCTGCTCGAGCGGCTCCGGCAGCAGCAGTCCTGCTAGGCGTGGAGGCAGCCCCAAATCACCCTGGATTTCCCCGGACACGGCCCCACTGCACAGATGGGAAGATAGGGGCTCAGAAGAGTATATAGCTTACCCAAAGCCACACAGTTAGTTGCCGAACAGAACCCATGTCCCTCCTCTAAGATCAGGGGATGAAGTCCTTGTCTTTCCTTTTTTCCCCCCAAACCATTATAGCCAGAGACTGCAGGGTTTGGCCCCACTTTTCAGAGTCTATATCCCTATGGCCTGAGCTCAAAAGGGGAGATGATACCAGGGCTGGGCCACAACCATCAGGAGGACATGCTCAGGGTCGGCTCCTCTGGCAATTAGGGGAGAGAAAAAAGAGAGCGGATACATTTTGCCAGCCATTCAGGAAACGGGGGGTTTCTGGAGGGTCCCTGGTCCCACCCCAACTTCCACCCAAAGTGGGAAGAGAGAAATGGCCCCATCCTCAATCTGGGTACCAGCCCTAATCCTTGCCCTCAGTTACCGTGGAGTGGGCCCCGCCCCTTCCAGCCGGCTCCGCCCCGAAGCCCCCTGGCCCCCCCACCTTCCCCGGGGCCGGCTCACCTTGGTCTCTGCCAGCTGTCGCTTGAGCAGCTGCAGCGCCTCGGTGTGCTCCCGCTCGCTGTCCTGAAGGGCCTGGAGCTGCTCCTTCAGTTCTCTCTGAAACACACACGGGGCTGGGATGCGGGCGCGGGCGGGACCTGGCCCAGCACGCGGTGCTGATGAAGTGTCCGGCCTGACCGCTGCCGGGAGTTATCTTGGCTGCGTCTCCCATCCCCAACACCCATGTCCTGTAGAGCCTGTCTCCTAAGTATTTCCTGAGTCCATCCCAGTTTTCACCTGGATTTTTGCAACAGCCGTCTCTGGCCATTCCAGGAGCTTCTGGTGTCCACATACACACCCTGCACACCCCGCCCCGTTGGCAGCTGGCTGCCTGCTGGGAATCCTCTGGTAAGAACCCAGGCTGCACACAGTCCGTCGCTGCAGACTGACCGCCAATGTTCTCTGAGCGCGCACAACGGGCTAGGTACCAGTTCTTAGCCCTTTGCTTGTACAGTCAAGCGTCCCTCATCCAAAAATCCTAAATCCGAAATGCTCCAATATCTTAAAATTTTTGAGTGCTGACATGAAGCCACAAGTGAAAAATTCCACACCTGATCTCATGTTATGGGTCATGTGTTTCACGTACAAAGTTATTTAAAATATTGTATAAATTACTTTCAGGCTCTGTGTGAAATGTATATGAAACATAAATGATTTTAGTGCTTAGACTTGTGTCCCGTCTCCAATATATCTCAGGCTATATATGAAAATATTCCAAAATCTGAAAAAATACAAAATCCACACTTCTGGTCCCAAGCATTCTGGATAAGGAATACTCAACCTGTATTAATTCATTCGAGCCTCTCAGTAACCCTAAGGAAAGCACTATTCTTATCCCCATTTTCTGATAGAAAGAAAGGTACAGAGAGGTCAAGAAACTAGCCCCAAAGCATACAGCTAATCCTGTAAGGATAAAGTCAGAATCGGAACCCAGGCAGTCTGGTTCTGGAGAACATGATCTTGATGCCAGGTGACACATTTTGTACAAAGACGACATCCACGATGAACAACAAAAAATCACGATAGACAAGATAACAAGATTTTAAATAAAAACAGGATCAGAAATAGAGTTTTCCTTTGCCTCAGGTTCCAGTATGGCTCAGGAGGGCATTGCTAGTGATCTTGTCCTTGTTTAAAATTTTGATACTTTGTTCATCATTAATTTTCTTGCATTAATTTTAAGAAATATTGCATTAAATATTATTCATCTTGATTAGTGTGTTTTTTGGCACCTACCTCTATCATGCACCTCCCTCACCTCACTCTAATCCCACCTCTGTCTCCACTACCCTCCCCTCTCACTCCCATCCAGCCAAAGTGGCCTTATTTACTGTCCCTCTATCATCCTGAGCTTGTTCCAACCAAAGGACTTCACAATTGCTATTTCCTCTGGCTGGTGTTCTCCACTCTCAGATTTTCTCATGGTTATTCCTTAGTATAATTAATTTATCAACTCAGGTGCTGCCTCCTCAAAGGGCCTTGCAGGACCTCCAATGACAGTGGCACCTCCTTATACCCTCTGCCACACATCCTGCTTCAGGGTCTCCATAGGGCCTTCAGCTGTCTGAAATGCCCTTACTCGTTTATTGCGTGTTTATTGCTTGTTTCCCTCACTAGAATGTGAGTTTCACAGGGTAGGAATCTTGTCTGACTTGTTCACAGCTGTATCTCCAGTGCTTAGAACAATGCTGGCATGCAGCAGGGCCTCTGTAATTATTTGCCAAATGAATGAATTGGGTGTGGAGGTGGGTACTGCCCAGCACAGGGTCCAGCTGTCTGCACTCATCGGGAATCATGTCCACTGTATCACAACTAGTCGTTCTATCTGCTTCTCTTCCCTCCCCATAGTAGACCATGAGTCCTATGGGGCAGACCCTTTCTGCTCCTTCTCTGTATGTCCTGCACCCAGCAATGGCCTGGCACTGAGACGAGCTCAAGGAAGTTTCCTGTGTGAATGACTTTCCACAGAAACAGCCTCTGAGCAGGGCCTGGGTCTCCCAGTCAGCCTGGGCTGACTTACCTGTTCATGTTCACCTCCCTACCGTTCATTCATCTTGTCAGAGCAGGGAGGATCCTCGCAAAACATCTAGTTTAACTAATTTTCCAGACTAGGTAGTAGCAACATGGGAAAATGATGCTTAGCATGATGATGACATGCTAAGGGAAGAATGCAGAAAACAAAATTATCTTTGCTTACTATCGCTTATTCATTCAACAAATATTTATTGAGCAACTACTATGGACCAGGTACTGTTGACTCCCTGGGGATACAGCAAAGAACAAGACAGACACAGTCCCTGCCCACAGGGATCTTACAATCTAGTGGGGAAGACAGACTAAGGAAAATAATAAAGGAGTGAAATAATTACAAATGTGCTCTAGAGAAAATAAAGCAGTGTGGGATAGGGGGCGACTTTAGATAGGGTGGTCAGAAAAGCTTCTCTGAAGAGGTAACAGTAGAGATGACAGCTGAAGGATGAGAAGGAGGCAGTCATGAAACCAGGGTAAGACAGAAAATGGGAGCAGTCTGTTTTGTGAGAGTAGAGAGCTTGCACTAATAATGGTTGGGACTCTGGTAACCATCCAAGGCCATGAGGCAACTGTAAACAAAGATAAAAGTCAAGCTGAAGCCAACAGAGTAGAAGGAAGGAGCCTTAGAAGGAAGAGGGTCCCTGATGACTGTGCGGCAGCCACACCATCACTCAACTCAGTGATGTGCTGGATCTCTGGGAAAAAAAAAATCCCCGGTAGCGTTTGCTAACTTCCAGAGTGTAAATGCTCCCACCAAAGCAATTTCAAGCTATCAAGGTGAGGTCATCGTACATGGAATTGGGGAGAGATGTGCACAATCAGCTCTCAGGAGCCAGTGCAGCCAGCTCCAGCACACCACTGCCTGGAGTCCTTTCCTACAGGCTTGTTTTACAGGAGAGAGAAATCCGCCCCCACCTAATTTCAGCTATTTCAGTCAGGTCTCTATTACTAACAGCTGAAAGTCATTCCTGATAGAGTCATGTGCTTCTGAGTTGCCTAAGAGTGCAGAATGACCACTCCTCAGGCCCTCCCTGACGGCCTTGGGCCCATCCAGCCTGGGACACAGTCTGGCTGACATGCAGATGTGTGAGGAGATGGGCTGAGTGCTACAATTCTCCTCCTTGGTGGTCCCTGGGGGTCCATGTAAGACCCTGCCACCCAGGCGGCTCTTCAGCGTTCCTGAGAAGCTGCCCTGGAGGCTGCGTTCTTCACATTGCTTAGGGCACCCGAGGCACTTGACAAATTCCTCTCTATTTTGGAGTCGGGACAAGGAAGGCTGGCCTGCCTCATTCCTCCTGGGTCCTGGGTGCAACAGAGCACTCATTCACCCACTCCACAAACCCGTGTTGAGGCTTCCTTGGATCCCATGTGGTGCTGTGTCAGGATTGATGGAGGCATGAGGGACAAGTTCCAACCCATGGTGCCGCGAGTGTGCCTGAGCTGGGGACGCAGACAAGGACATAGACACTTGCATCACAGCGAATGCTGGGATAGTGTTAAGGGACCCCAAACCTGCTCCTCTACCCATGTTCCCGATCTCAGTGGAGGGCACCCCCTCACTGGCATCGAAGCCAGAAAACTGGCCGTCATCCTTGACACCTACCACCCCCAAACCAATCCAACCACTCATAGATAGTGTTAAGGGACCCCAAACCTGCTCCTCTACCCATGTTCCCGATCTCAGTGGAGGGCACCCCCTCACTGGCATCAAAGCCAGAAAACTGGCCGTCATCCTTGACACCTACCACCCCCAAACCAATCCAACCACTCATCAGGTTTGCTCTGGAATTTGTTCTCTCCTCTCTACACCCCTTCCCCTGGTTCAGTTTTCATCGCTTCTTTTTGGACCGTGGCGCCAGGCTCCTCCCTGCCTCTGCCCTCTCCTCGCTGCTCTGAGTGTCCACACAGCAGCTGCAGTGATGGTTCTAAAGGACAGATCTGTAAATACTTCTCCCCCACCCGTGCTCCTTTGTAGGATTTCCATGTTGTCTGGGAAGAAGGGCACAAAGCTGTAAGGTGGCATTCAAGGCCCTTCCTTTCCAGTCTTAGCTCTTGGTCCAGATCTGCTTTGTCCAATACAGTAGCCACTAGCCACATGTAGATATTTAAGTGGCAACTAATTAAAATGAAATGAAATTGAAAATTCAGTTCCTTGGTTGCACTGGCCATATTTCAAGTGCTTAATGGCCACATGCGACTAGTGGCTACTGTATCAGACGGTGCCCACGCAGAACTTTCCATTATCCCAGAAAGTTCTATCAGACAGTGCTGCTCTGGACGCACTAAGCATCTTGCAGCGCTTTCCTCCAGGTCTTTGCATGTGCTGTGCTCACTGTCTGGAATGTTCACCCACATGTTTTTCTCCACTTCTTGGACTCATACTCATCTCCTAAGACCCATACCAAATGTCACCTCCATTGAGAATTCACATCCCAAACTCTCCACGCTGTCATCAGACACTCCTCCATGTGCACAGTGCTCCACACTTGCACCCTGATGGCACATGCTGCATTTTAATAGCCAGGTTACCTGTCAATCCCCCCTCAAGATTGTGGGCTCTTGAGGGCAGGGACTATGCCAGAGAGACTGTCACACTCTCAGTATCTAGGACAGGAATGGGCACAGACCAGCCTCCATAAGAGTTTGCAGAATGAACCTGCACAGGGAAGAGGCTGGGCTGGGTCAGAGCTCATCTCTGAAAGGGTGTGGGGGAGAGAGGGCTCCAGGCAGGGAGCTCTCCCCATGTAGGCTAGGGGCAGAGCCTGAGGGACCAGCTAACTTAGGAAAACCAAACTCTAGTACCCACAGGGCCAGACTTAGGAGGTAGCCCAAGCTCTAAGTTGCCCCCCAACTCACCCCAACCTGCCCCCGTGGGTCTCCTTTCAAGCCTAGGGTTAGGAGGCTGGCTCTACCACCCACTAACTGTTTGACCCTGGGATGTCACTAACCTCACTGTGCCCCAGTCCCTCTTCTGCAAAGTGGGGTCGTCAGACCTCCTAGGGTTGGAGGGTGAAATGGTATAACAT